AAAAAAAAAATAAATTCTGGCTGTAAAGTATCTCTGCCAAGTATAGGTGGCACAGTCCTGTAATCTTAGTACTCAGGAGGCTGAGGCAGGAGGAGCAGAGTTTGATTGAGGTCAGTGTAGGCTACAGAATATGATCCTGTCTAAAAAAAAAAAGTAAACAAGCTATCTTTATAATTTCACCAAAAAGACAATTTAGGTTGGAATATGGCTTAGTGGTAGAGTGCTTGTCTAGCATGCATGAAGCCCTGGGTTTGATTCCTTAGTCCCACATAAACAGAAAAAGCCAGAAGGAGTGCTATAGTTCAAGCCCCTGGACTGGCAAAAAAAAAATTAGGCTAGGCACCACTGGCTCATACTTGTATCCTAGTTACCCAGGAGCTGAGATCTGAGGACTGCAGTTTGAAGCCAACCCAGGCAAAAAAATCCCCATGAGACTCCTTTCTCCAGTTAACCACTCAAAAATGGAAACGGCACTATGGCTCAAGTGGTAGAGTGTTAGTCTTGAGAACAAAGAGGCACAAGGACAGCACCCAGGTTATAAGGCATTGGCAATGAGACAGAATATCTGTTTACTGTGACTGCAATAGAGGGGTATCCACTGGCTTTATAGAGTCTCACAGACCTGCTTTGTCCTTTACAAGCTTTGTGGTCAGATGGTGTGTTACTGGACATAGGAAATCCATTCTTTCTTTAGATCCAAACTAGATAAGAAGGGAAATGCAGTAGTGTATTAGGAGCATGAAGCCCGTGGAGCCTTTCATTGTGCCCTGGCCCTAGCCCTCTCCAGAGTGGGCTGGAGATGTTGCCCAGTGAGAGGGATATTTAATCTTTGATTTATTTACAGCGTCACAGCTGAAGATACCTTAAGGTAATTAAAAACAAAACAAAACACCCCCTCCCTTTTTTTTTTTTGCCATTTTCTGTGTATGTAGTACTGAAGAATGAAATCCAGGGCTTCATGCATGCTAGGCAAGCACTGTACCACTAAACCACATTCCCAGCCCACCAAAATACATTTTATTATCTGGGTGCTGGTGGCTCACATCTGTAATCCTAGCTACTCAGGAGGTTGAGATCTGGGGATTATGATTTGAAGCCAGCCCAGTGAGACTTTTATTTCCAATGAACCATCAGAAAACTGGAAGTGGAGCTGTGGCTCCCAAGTGATAGAGTGCTAGCCTTGAGCAAAAAAGCTCACCAGACCCTGAGTTCAAGTCCCATGACTGACCCTCGCCCCTAAAAAATGTTATCTTTAAGTAGTTATACAAAGAAGTTTCCATTTAACAAAGCAGTTTATGACTACAATGCATCTTGTTCAATGTCACCCTTTCAACATTTTTTTTAATGACTTGGAGCTTGAACTCAGCCTGAGCACTGTCCCTGAGTTTCTTTTTGCTCAAGGATAGCACTCTATCATTTTAGCCACAGTGCTACTTCTGTCTTTTTCTGATTTTGTGGTGCTGAGGAATTAAACCCTGGGCTTTGTGCATGCTAGGCAAGCACTCTACCTCTAAGCCACATTTCCAGCCCTCCTCCCTGCTTCCAGCATTCTTGCTTATCCCTTGCAACTCATTCCTTCCCTCATCCTTCTTAATTTTTTAGGATATACATTGAATTCTTTTTTGTTGTTGTTGTTGTTGGTCATGGGGCTTGAACTCGGGTCCTGGGCGCTGTCTCTCAGCTCTTCAGCTCAAGACAAGCACTCTACCACTTGAGCCACAGTGCCACTTCTGTTTTTCTAGTGGTTTACTGGAGATGAGTCTCATGGACTTTTCCTGCCCGGGCTGGCTTTGAACCACGATCCTCAGATCTCAGCCTCCTGAGTAGCTAGGATTACAGGCATGAACCACCGGCACCCAGCTACATTGAATTCTTGACTGCATTCTCTTCTTTCTTTCCATTCGTCTGCCCCTCTTCTCATGACCCCACTTCACTCTACTCTTTTTTTTTTTTTGGCCACCGTGGGGCTTGAACTCTGGGCCTGGGTGCTTCCCTGAGCTCTTCAGCTCCAGGATAGCACTCTACCACGTGAGCCACAGTGCCCACTTCCGGCTTTTTCTGTTTATGTGGGCTGAGGAATCAAACCCAAGGTCTGGTACATTCAAGGCAAGCACTCTACCACTGAGCCACCTTCCCAGCCCCACCCTGCTCATTTTGTTATAAAGAAATAGTGAGCCTTTTGTGCATAACTTTCTTTGTACAATGTACTCTACTATATATGCTTCCCATTTTCCTTATACAATTGTTTTTTTCATCCATTGTCTTTATAAACATATGTTAGTTAGCTTTCCATTGCTAGAATAAAATACCTGAAATAATCAGCTGAAAGGAAGACAGGGTTTATTTTGGCCCATGATTTCAAAAGTTGCAGATTGTGGCCACTAGTAATCACATGTTTTAGACCTGGAATAAGGCAGCATAAAAGGCCAGAGTCTCTGTATCCCTTCCCCCCCCCCAACCCCCCCTGCACCAGCAGTGACCTAACTTCCTCCTTTTAGGCCACACCCCTCCTAAGGTTCCACCCCCTACCTCCCTGTAGTACCACAGACAGGACCGGCTTTCTATTCATGGATCATTGGGAGATATTTCAATCCAAATCATATTATTCCCCAGATGACATTTTGTTTTAAGAACTAAAACTAGAGAAAAAAAAACAAAATGGAAACCAGTAATTTTTTTTTCCATTCTTTAGCAAGTTCTTGTCAGAAAGTAAGATGATCAACCAAACGTGAAATAAAGAAGCTAAATAACCCCCAGGATTTGAAAGAAGGCATCACTGAAGTTAGGTCATCCAGCAGAGTAGAAGGTAGCTGGGTAGGGCTTCAGTTGCTCTGTTTTATGGTTTCATATCTCCAGAGAAAGAGTTTGAATGGTGTGTGTGTGTTGTGGTGATACACTAGGAGACTGGGAATCAGGAGAAGTCTCATTCATTTTATATTCTCAGGCATGCCTGGGGGTTCAGTATTTGGACATGGCCCATGGGCACACAACTATGTTTGCAACTACGCAGTTATCTTTTGATGCCCTTCCTTAGGGTAAAGCAGGGATGCACATACTGCCTCCTGTTTTCTTATTCTCTGTTCTGGTTACAGGGGCATTAAGTGTTTTGTCAGCTACTTTTTTGTATGTGTTCTGGTACTAGGATTTGAAGGGACTGGGTGCACTATACTTTAGTTTTTTCCACTCAGGGCTAGTGCTCTACCTCTTTAGGCACAATTCACATCTTTTTGCTGGTTAATTGGAAATAGTAGTCCCACGAACTTTAGCAGTTTCATGCCCCAGCTAGCTTTGCACTGAGATTCTCAGATCTTAGCCTCTTGTAAGCTAGGCTTACAGTTGTGAGCCACCTGCATCAGGCTCCATCTAGTTCTTTTTTAATTTTTTGCCAGTCCTAGGGCTTGAACTTAGGGCCTAGGCACTGTCACTGAGCTTCTTTTGCTCAAGGCTAGCACTCTACCACTTAAGTTACAGTGCCACTTCCTGCTTTTTCTGTTTATGTGGTACTGAGGAATCGAATCAGGGCTTCATGCATGCTAGACAGGCACTCTACCACTAAGCCACATTCCCAGCCCTCCATCTACTTCTTTTAGTTTACTTTTATCCCAGAATTCAAAGGGTGTCTTTCCTTCTCCCATGTTGGAATTTGGATGTGTAGAGAGCAACCAGGTGATTCTCACATCAGCCAGTCAGGGACCAGACTTAGTGCACTCACCTTTCTTGGCTGATGGCCATCTTAAGAGAGGCCTCAAAAGTGCTGGCTTGGTCTCAGGAAAGCCTTTTATTTTTGATGGTGGCTGGAACTGGGTTTCCCTTGAGCCTCAGCAGCTGCATTCTTTTATTTATTTTTTTGTCAGTCGTGGGCCTTGAACTCTGGGCCTAGGCGCTGTCCCTATGCTCTTCAGCTCAAGGCAAGCGCTCTACCACCGCAGGGCCACTTCCAGTTTTCTAGTGTATTATTGAGATAAGAGTCTCACGGACTTTCCTGCCCAGGCTGGCTTTGAACCGGGATCCTCAGATCTCAGCCTCCTGAGGAGCCAGGATTACAGACATGAGCCACCGGCACCTGGCTTCAGCGGCTGCATTCTTGATGTAACCCTGTAGGGAGCAGATCCTCCGGGTCAAGGCTGAAGAAGATAAGATCCCACTGCTGGTAGTGGGAAACAAGTCTGACTTGGAGGAGCGGAGGCAGGTGCCCATTGAGGAGGCCAGGGGCAAGGCGGAAGAGTGGGGCGTGCAGTATGTGGAGACATCGGCTAAAACACGGGCCAACGTGGACAAGGTAGGCTGCTCCCTGCTCTGCAGGTGTTTCACAGACATCAGCTGTGGGCACAGCACATCCTAGCCTTCTCAGTTGTTTGGTTTTGAGGACTTCCTTGTGAGAACTAGGTAAGGACTTCTGTGGGTTGGTGAGTTGTGATGACTGCTAGAAGAATGTTAGAAGGCTTCCCTCTTCCACTCTCCCTCTTCCTTTCTTTCTCCCTTCCCTCCTTTCCCCCCTTCCTTTTTTCCTTCTTTCCTCTTCCTTTCTTCTCCTCCCTCCCCTCTCCCTCTCTTTCCCTCCCTCTCTCCCTCTCTTCCCCCCTTCCCTCCCCTCTCTTTCATTGGTCATGGGGCTTGAACTCTGGGCCTGGGCACTGTCCCTCAGCTCAAGGCAAGTGCTCTACCACTTGAGCCACAGTGCCACCTCCAGTTTTCTGGTGGTTAATTGGAGATAAGAGTCTTATGGACTTTCCTGTCCAAGCTGGCTTTGAACCTCAATCCTCAGATCTCAGCCTCCTGAATACCTATGATTACAGGTGAGCTACCGGTGCCCCACCCTCCCTTCTTTCCTTATACCAACAACACATTTAGTTTTGCTCCTGTTGTCTTATCAGTAAAGTTTGTTTAATTTTTTCCCATTTCCTGGTGTGCACTTTGGCAAATACTGTTTTATGTGATCAGAGAAGGGTTATTTTGTCCCTTCACTGATCACTGACAGTGAAGTGTTCAGCATTCAGGTTTGGTCTCTAAAAAGGATGAGCTTTCAGGAACAACTGTATGGGATCTCTTTCCTGCTTTTATCCCAGCCTAGCCCACTTCTGGCCAGATTTCCTTTTGCTTTTGTGCTGGTTTTTTTTTTTTTTTTTTGGTTCGGTCGTGGGGCCTGAACTCTGGGCCTGAGCGCTGTCCCTCAGCTCTTCAGCTCAAGGCTAGTGCTCTACCACTTGAGCCACAGCGCCACTTCTGGCTTTTTTCTTTTTACTTATGTGATGCTAAGGAATCGAACCCAGAGCCTCATGCATGCAAGGCAAGTGCTGTACCACTGAGCCACCTTCCCAGCCCCTGTGCTGGTTCTTTTTTTGCTCAAGGCTGGTGGTCTACCACTTGAGCCATAACTCCACTTCTAGCTATTTTTTTGTGTGTAGTTGGAGATAAGAGTCTCATAGACTTTTTTTCCTCAGACTAGCTTTGATCTGCAATCCCCAGATTTTAGTCTCTTGAGTAGATAGGATTTTAGGCATGAACCATAGGTGTCCAGTTCTGAAGCTAATTTAAGAGTGACCTCACCTAGGACCAAGGCTGACAATTCAAAAATCTACCTACTAGGGATTGCAGGCTCTCTGTTGCCTGTCCAGTCTGGCCTTAAACTTGTGATCCTTTTGCTAGCCTCTGGAATGCTGGGCTTTCAGACCTGTACTATCCTGCCCAGCCCTACTTTTTCTTTTCTTTAGAAGATCCCTTTGACCCAGTCATAATTTCATAGTTCTTCCTCTTCTTTTTTTGGCCCGTCCTGGAGTTTTAACTCAGGGCCTGGACACTGTCCCTGAGCTTCTTTTGCTCAAGGCTAGCACTCTACCACTTAAGTTACAGTGCCACTTCCTGCTTTTTCTGTTTATGTGGTACTGAGGAATCAGATCAGGGCTTCATGCATGCTAGACAGGCACTCTACCACTAAGCCACATTCCCAGCCCTGCTTTTTCTTTTAAATTAAAGTTCAAGATGGTAAGCACTCTTGTAGCTCCCTTCTGCCCTCACCTGCATCAGCTGTTACTTCCTGACTTGGGAGGCAGAGGCCTGCTTCTGTGCTGTGTTGTTACCAGCAGCATCTGAATTCCCCAGAGCTCTTCTTCCTTCTCTCCCCTGTGCTTCCCAGATGACATCAGTGGTGGGATGTGCTGACCTTCGGCTGCTGTGTGAACTTTGTGGCCAGCAGCTGTTTTTTCTTTATATTTGTTATTTTTTACTTAGGCTGCTGCCTGTGGGAGTCAGAATCTCCTTTGCCTTTGTCTAGCTGGAGGAAACAGGAAATCCAGACATGAGTTTCGTGTTTTAAATCTCAGGAAGAGTCTCTTAGCATGAACCTGCTGTGGTGTGCTTTTTGAGGGGCAGGAATCAACTCTGGGGTCAGGTCTCTTTTCCCAGAGTAGGGGTATGTGCAGGGACTGACCCCTAGTTGTCACCGCCCCTCCATGGCACCAGCCTGACCTGCCAAACAGGAACCTTGAGAAACTTAAGGCTGGCAGCATTGTGTTCACTTGTGAACAGTTTAACCAAGGAAGACTTTCGATAAGATCAGCGGATGAACAACTTAGTCATCATTTTAAGTTGGACTTGGTCCGAGCTCCTCCTCCTGCCTTTTGCTGTCAGGAAAAAAAAAAAAAAGCTGTAACACTGGGCTGTTCACTGGGGCTTGTGTGGCCCTGTGCTTCCCTGAGCAGCTGGCAACAAGGGTTCAGAGGTCAGCTGAGCCCCAGTGTGGGGCTCCCTGCCTGAGCCTGGGAATGTGTGTGGAGTTTGGCCCTGGAAAAATGATCTCTCTTTTTACCAAGAAGAAAGTTAAAAGAAAAGTTAGGCACTGGTGGTTTGTGCAGCTGTCAGAGATAAAAATCCTTGTCCCTTGCCATATTTTCAGTGTCTGGGAAATCTCTGATGCATGTGGAAGTGGTTTCTTCTGTCTGCCTGGGCTTAAGCAGTCCTCTGGCAGGGTGGCTGGTAGCAGAGGGCAAAACCCAGACTACTGTGATGAACGATAATGCCCATCTATGTGACCCTCCCCATCTCCCCACCCCCGGTACTTACAGGGCAAGCTCATCAGTTGCAGATAAAAGTTCTCTCAGCACTGCAAGGACCCAAGAACTGGGTCATGGTGTATGAGAAGAGCCACTGTGACAAGACATCTTATTCCCTTGGTTCTCCAATCCACAGTGCCGGCACTTCTTGCCTACTTCCCTTCTACCTTCCCAGGTCCACTATCACGGCAGCATGCATGGGTTGGGAGAGCTGTCAGAATATTGACATTGCAGTAGACGTAGGGATCTTACAAGGATTCAGTGGGAGGTAGTAAATCATAAATCACCTAGCAACGCCGACTTAGCCCCTCTCCTTTTCCTGATGGTTAGATGTGCTACTAGTGTTTGGCCTACTATCACTCATTATTTGTAAGTTTCACAAACAGTAGTAGGATCTGTTCTGCAGAAGCTTTTCTTACCCTTATGCTTATTATTAGAAAAGATCTTTCCATTTTGAGAGTAGAGAATGGTAGTAGAATGGTAGTAACAGTGTCCTTAGTTGACTCTGTCCTTGGCTGGACTGTTGTGAGGTACAACTGAAATGTTCACACTATAGGGTGAGAATACAGTTTTAAGTTGGATTATTCCTGTTTTTTCTAGATTCTTTACTTTTGATGTACATGGTTTATCAAAAAAATAAGCCTGGGGCTTTATACCCTAAAAATAGAACTCTGTATCCTGCTACACTGAGTTGATTCATTTCACCATTAAATGACCTTTTCCTTCTATTCTTTTTGCCCTTCTCCCCACTTCTAGGTATTCTTTGACCTAATGAGAGAAATCAGAACAAAGAAGATGTCAGAAAACAAAGACAAGAATGGCAAGAAGAACAGCAAGAACAAGAAAAGTTTTAAAGAAAGGTGTTGCTTGCTGTGAGGGCAGGGCCAGGGTGGCAGATGGAGTCCATGGTTGCTAAGGATGCAGGACTGGGCTGGCAAGTAGAAGACACTAGCTGGATTCTGCCTGTGTTTTCTGCTTTCCCAGACCTCACTCACTTGTACTTCTTTAAATGGGGACAAATATTTGTGAATTGGTGACTGGCAGAAGAAATAAGCCAGCTTATTTTGGAGCTTTGGAGTCCCCATTCTCTCTTCCCCCTCTTTGTTCCTCACCACAGCTTAACTGGGTATACAGTGCTCAAGGAGAAAAGGTATTGTTTGAGTATCTTTTTCCCTAGGATTTTTTCTTTTTGCTTGGCTGGTGCTCTGCTACTTGAGCCAGGCCTGTAACCTGGCTTTTGCTGGTTATTTTAGAGGTGGAGTCTCGAGGACTTTTTTACTTGTCCTAGCTTCAAAATGTGATCTTCCAGATCTCAGCCTATTGAGTAGCTAGGCATGTGCCCCCATGCCTAGTTTTTATAATGTTAAACCTTCCTCTTTTGCTTTGCAATAAAAATGTCTTTTTTATTAGATTTTGGAAGTGGGTCTGAGGTAAGATCCTCCTCTTACTTTATCAGTTTAGCAGTAGCACTCAGAAAAGTCCATTAAACCCTAATGATGCTGAAGAATCCTGGGACTTTTGATAAGCTTCTTGCAGTGCCCTGTGAATATCAAGCATAGCTGGACCAGTGAACTTGGATTGATGGGCTATATGGACCAACACTATGCTTATAAATCTTCTTAACATATGAAAAATGAAACTCATTTCCTTCATATCTAAATATTGGCCATTTACAATGTGAATTGGCTCTTTTTCTCCTCAGCATCTTGATTGTTGGGTAGGATGCACAAAGATCAAGGAACATGCTGTTTTTCTTTTTTCCTTCTTTTTTTTTTGGGGGGGGAGGGGCGGGTACAGTCATGGGGCTTGAACTCAGAGCCTGGGTGCTGTCCCTGAGCGCTTTTGCTCAAGGCTAGCCTCTATCCTTTGAGCCACAGCTCCATTTCCAGTTTTTTTAGGTGGTTAATTGGAGATAAGAGTCTCACAGCCTTTCCTGCTTGGGCTGGCTTCAAACCATGATCCTCAGATCTTAGCTTCCTGAGTAGCTAGGACTACATGTGTGATCTACCAGTGTCGGCCCATGCCATTTTTCTAATCAGTGTCTGTCAGGGCCTGTGGTTAAGTCCTCCCCTGCTGGCCAGGCCCCTCTTCCAGTCATCAAGCCATCTTCCTGAGCAGCCTCACTGTGCAGAGGTCGAGCCAGTCTCCTTTTTTCCTTCTCTCAGTGTCACACAAATTCTTCTGACAAGTGTGATGAGTTGCAACTGTATCCTAAAATCATGAAACTAGAGCCTGTGCCAGACCTTCTGCTACCTCTTACAGGAATGCTCGGTAATTGTAATGTACGATGAGATGTGGGGAATTCTAAGCCATTGTCCCCTTGCCTCTGAGTGGTGGCTGCTCCTAATGTCTGAGAGTCATGGAGTTGTTAGAAATAGACTCAGGAGAGCATTAATTCTCTCAGTTCAACAGTTAGAAACTCTTGGGGAAGGGGGGGGGCTGTGATATAAAAGCCTCCACTTTAGCACGTTTTCCCCCATTTTTTTGGAAGTGAACATTTCATGTGTAGGTGCCAAAAATGAATGGGGTGGGCCAAGCTGGAGCCTTTTGGATTTATGGTTGTTACAGAGATTGTGGGAATTACTGCCTGACTCCTGGCTACCAATCTTGTATCACTTCCCAAAGAATCATGGGCTTTTTAAAAAAAAATAAAATTTAAAAACAACAACAACCACTAAATGCACTCTTAAGATTTCAGCCTTTTTATTCTCATAAGAAGCAGAGGAAGCAAGTTCATCGTTTTCTCAGATGTTCTCCAGGACCAGACAACACTTCATTTCGGGGAGTCCTTTGAATTAGGAAATAGATTAAACAGCATTTTAACTTCTTCTTTCCCTTGGGAGAGATCATTGTTTTCTCTTTCTCCCCTCTCCTTTCAACATTACGTAGGCTTGAACTCAGGGACTTTCACTGTCCCTTGGCTCTTTTGCTCAATACTGGCACTCTTCCAAGTAAGCCACACCTCCTCCTCCACTTCTGGATTTGTGGTGGTTGGTTGGAGATTTCTCAGATTTTCCTGCCTGGGCTGGCTTCAAACCATGATCTTCAGATCTCAGCCTCCTAAATAGCTAGGGTTACAGTTGTGAGCCACTGGTTTTGTGTATTGCATCTTTCTGATCTTGCCTCTTACCTCTTAAACATTTCTCATCTCCAGGCTCTTCCTCTCTGTATCTTCTCTAATAATGCCCAATGGAACTCTTGCCTTCATAGTTCAGCAGCTACACAAACATAAAAGCTCAGGTTCTCTGGTCTTATACTCCTCTGAAAACACTGCTCAATGGACATAGAGCAGCAATCATATGTTTAAACACATATCTTTACTCTTTCCAAAGATTCCAAAAATTAAAATGTCAGTATTCCCATTTCAGAGAGAAGATTGAGGAAATGGTACTTAGGCAGACTTCAGAATTCATCAAAGGGCACAAAACATTGCTGTTAAGACTTGAAATTGTTCTCTTCAAAATCAGTATTCCAAGCCAGGCCTGTGTCTAGTTGTAAGCCTAGCTAGCTACTCAGAAGGCTGAGATCTGGAGGATTCTGGTTCAAAACTAGCCAGAACAGAAAAGTGGACAAGACTCCCATCTCCAAAAATAATCAAATGCTGAACTGGAGACACAACTCTAGAAGAAGATTAGAAGAGTAAGCAAGCTCAGGTGTGAGGCCTTGAGTTCAGTCTGTGGTACTGGGCAGGAGGAGGTGGGGGGAGGTATAGAAGTGCACACTTAAGAGAGGCTGATGGAAGAGAACAATTTGAGCCCAGGAGTTTGCGATTAGCCTGGGTGACATAATGGGATTTTATCTATTAAATATATGTATATATACATGCATATTTATATGTGTACATATACTATACACATATATGTGTATATATATATCTATGTATAAACTTGTGTATGTGTTCTCTCTGCAAGCTGTCCTTAGAGTACAAATAACCCTGATACCTTTGCCTGCGGCTCTGGTCCAACTTTAGGAATGAAGTCCTGCTCTTAGTTGTGGGCAGTGTGGTCAGACAATAGGTTTCCTGCATAGGCGTTGCTCTTGGACACCTGGTGCTGCTAACACAAAAGGGAGTCCCCTCACAGGGTGGACTTCAGGCTTTGACCACCATCTGGCCTCTCCATTTATCCTCAGGTCAGTGGAACCACTACAACTTCCCGTGCCATGGCTGGCCACATTGAAGTGTTCCTCAAGTTTACTCAAATCATCTCTCCATCTTGAACCAGCTTCCTCCTCCTCTCTCCTACTTGCCATTTTTACCCTTGAAAACAAGTTCCACTTTCTCCAGGAAGCCTGCATTTCATTTCTAGATGGACCATATTCATTCACCATTCTAACACATGTATGTACTGCTTAGTAGGCATTGGTAGAAGTTCTTCTCTGTCGATGAACTGAAGCAGCTGTGCTCTTCCATCCCAGCCCTGAGATCTGCAAGCAGATTAAAAACAAGGCTCTGGCTGGTGGCTCACACCTTCTATCCTAGCTACTCAGGAGGCTGAGATTTGAGGGTCTTGGTTCAAAGCCAGCTGGAGCAGATAAGTCCCCATGAGACTATTTCTCTAACCATTCAAAAATGGAAGTGTGCTGTGGCTCAAACTGGTAGAGCACTAGCCTTGAGCAAAAGAGTTCAGGGACAGTGCCCTGGACCTGAGTTCGAGCCCCACAACAGACAAAATGAGGCACTGCCGAGTGCTTATAGCTTATGCCTATATCCTAACTACTGAGGAAGCTGAAATCAGGATTGAGGTTTGAAGTTCCTACAAAACCCACTACATTATTGCTAGCTGCCTAACCACCTGCTAACCCAGAGCTTGCTGAGCTGTTGGTCCTCCTTCCTTGTAGGGTGCACAAGCATCCTGGACAGCCTCACTTACCCCCACTCTCCTCTCCCTCACCCCCTACCCCACACTTTCCTTATGCAGCCACCTAGTGGATATGGCCTCTGGACACAAGTGTCAGTCACCACTTGAGAGCCCACTGAAAGAGGCAGGAAAATGACCTCTGGTGGCTTTCCCGGGCAGTCCTGATCCACGAGGGCCTATGGACTGGCAAGAAGAACAGTTCCTCTTCTCTGCTGTCTAGGGAGAGCATTTACTGCCAGGTAAAAATTTTAGCAATCCCATCAGAATGGACAGCTGCAGAACTGGGCAGTATCACTATTGCTCCTGTCTAGCACATATGCACGATTAATGGTTTAAAGTCTATAATGTTTCAGTATAAGAAATGCTTTCAGGTAATGAGTTACACCTGTAATACTAGCTACTCAGGAGGTCAATATCTGAGGATCGCAGTTCAAAGCCAGCATGGGCAGGAAGGTCAGTGAGACTTATCTTCAATTAACCACCAACACCCCACCCCACAAAAAAACAAAACCCACCAAAAACAACAGAAGTAGGGCTATAATTTAAGTAGTAGACCACTACTACTTTGAGCACAAAAGCTCAGGGACACCATCTAGACCCTGAGTTTAAGCCTTTGGAGTGGCAGCCTCACATCTGTAATCCTATCTACTCAGGAGGGTGAGATCTGAGGATTGCAGTTCAAAATGAGCCTGGGGGACTGGGAATGTGGCTTAATGGTAGAGTGCTTGCCTAGCATGTTTGAAGCTCTGGGTTTGATTCCTCAGTACCACATAAACAGAAAAAGCCAGAAGGGGTGCTGTGGCTCAAGTGGTAGAGTGCTTAGCAAAAGAAGCTCAGGGACAGTGCATAGGCCCTCAGTTCAAGCCCCAGAACTCACACACATACACACTCCCCCCCCCCAAACTGGGGAAACCAGGACGTATCTCCAATTAACCAGAAAAAGCCAGAAGTGGCATTGTGGCTCAAATGGTAGAGTGCTAGCTTTGAGCAAAAAGAGCTCAGGAACAGAACCCAGGCCCAGAGTTCAAGCACCAGCAAAAAATAAAAACAAAAAAGATGGGTGATTAAGTCCTTAAGAGGGCTGATGCCTTTCTCTTGTGACTGAGTTCATCCTCTTGCAGAGTTGAATTGGATGCCCTCAGAGCAGCTTGTTGTAAAACAAATCTATCCCTTGCATTTTTTCTTTTTAAAAATATATTATTGTAAAAATACTGTACAGAGGGGTTACAGTTACATAAGCAAGGTAATGAGTACATTTCCTATCAAGCATTGTTACCCTCTCTTTTGTTTGTCAGTTGTGGGGCTTGAACTCTGGGCCTGGTCATTGTCCCTGAGCTCTTCAGCTGAAGACAAGCACTCTATCACTTGAGCCACAGCACCACTTCCAGTTTTCTGGTGGTTAATTGGAGATAAGAGTCTAAGGGAGGCTGGGAACGTGGCTTAGTGGTAGAGCCCTCACCTAGCATGCATGAAGCCTCAGGTTCAATTCCTTAGTTCCATATAAACAGAAAAAGCCATAAATGGAGCCATGGCTCAAGTGGTAGAGTGCTAGCCTTGAGCAAAAGAAACTCAGGGACAGTGTGTAGGCCCAGAACTGACGCGTGTACACACACACACACACACACACACACACAAACACACACCAAAAAACAGACTGAGATGTATCTCCAATTAATCAGAAAAAGCCAGATAATGGTAGAATGCTAACCTTGAGCAAAAGAAACTCAGGAACACTACCCAGGCCTTGAATTCAAGCATCAGGACTAGAAGAAAAAAAAAGTATCTCGGACTTTCCTGTCTGTGCTGGCTTTGAACTGTCATCCTCAGATCTCATTCTCCTGAGTAGCTAGGACTACAGGTGTAAGCCACAAGTGCCCAGCTGCATTTTCTCTTCCACACATACCTGCCTA